GGGTATTTTGGACAATTTCTCCCCATAGTCAATCACTCTTAAAAATGAGGAAAAGTCAAACCGGGAACATCATTCCCGGACGGAGGGAGTACTAAACTAGTAACTTCGTAAGCCGGCTCTGATACCACTGTTGGGAAACGAGGCTTGGATGACGCAGAGGAAAACAAAAATTTAGAGTCCAAAACTCGATTCCACCCAAGAACAACTTACGTAAATTACTAGCTATAGTAAGAAATTTACCTTAACGGTGAAAAACGGAGAACGGAGAAACGGTCGGGAATGGTTTTGAGGAGATGAACGTAGCGCCAAACGTATGAAGCCTCCAACGTATCCACACGAACTTGCTCAGGAGTCCTAGATTAAACTTGTGCTAGCAAATTTAATATAGGATAGCAAAAACTATAATAATACTACTTTGGGAGTAATAAATATATAGTAAAAAAATATTTATCTTATAAATATTTCTTTATAATATTTTGTGTATATTTCTAACACTTTAGAAAAATAACTTTGAACACAAAATAATATTTTTCTCCCCTTTCTCTCTAAATGGCCGAATGTAGTGTACTCAAATGGGGAGGGATTGTATTTCATTTTATAATAAACAACTTAAATGAATTTCTAGGAAATAGCTTAGGGACAAAACAAATTAGGATTAATATAATGTCCCCAACCAACACAACAAGACAAATATCCTTTTGTTAATCAAATATTTGATTATATCAATCAAATATATCATTAGGTAGAAAATCAATTTATGTCTTGTATTTTTCCCTTTGATATTTTCGGCCATCCCAATTTAAAAGCACATTACATTTTATTTTGACATCAATAATTATCATATATATATATATATATATATAATAAAATAAAATTTGGTTTGTCAAAATATAATTATCATATAATTAAAATGACACAAACAAAATATAAGTTTAAAATACATATGTATTTTCAAAATACATACATATATATATATATATATATATATATATATATATATATAAAATTTTCACAACTATATATTTAATATTACTCCCACTAGTGTAGTATACTACTCCCTTACAAGTCCTAAGTGTGTGACCCTTTAGGTATCCATAACAATGGCAATGATATTAATAAAATTAATACCATAGATAATAAGCAATTGAATGAGAGTACAAAGCCTACTTGCTATGGATGTGGAGAGCGTGGACATATCAAGGGTCATTGCCCTAATCGAAAATTCGAGAAGTCCAAATGCCGAAAGCAGTCCAACTCTAGCTCCTTTTCCTCATCCGATGATGAAGTAGCCATTTGTCTTATGGCTCAAAGTGAATCTGAAGAGGTAAGTTCTTCTAACGATCCTTTTAGTTTTGAAGAACTATAAGAAGCATTTGGTGATTTATTTAAAAAATTTAAGAAAGTATCATCTATTGCCAAGGATTTGGAATATAAAATCACCCTTTTGCAAAAGAAAAATAATATTTTGCAAAAAGAAATTGATTCCCTCAAAATTGAAAATAAGACTTTTGAGGAGACTAATTTGAAATTAAATTATTCACCTTGTTCTTCATGTAAGTCTTCTAGTCTTGAAATAGAAGCGCTTAAGAAAGAGGTAGACGATTTGGAATTAGCTATGAAGAAAGTTGAAAATGAATTTAGACTAAAATCTACCTCTAGGATTAAATACTATAGATCACCTAGAAATAAACTAAGTCATTCTAGGAATTCTAAGTTTGATAGACAACCTAGAAAGTACATCACACATCCTAGAAACATGAACAACCCTAGTGTTAGGTGTCATTATTGTAATAAAGTAGGACACATCACACAAGTTTGTTACACTAAGTATAGGCACTTGCTTCTAAGTCAAGATAATGTGATGCATCGTTCATATGATTTGTATTATTGCCATAACACCCCTGGACCCAAAAGGAATTGGGTACCAGAATTTGCTTCGTAGATTAATTAAGGAAGGCGTGCTTGAACACTTCAACTTGAGTTGAAGTAGATGCGCCAAGCACATAATTGGGTGAAGCATCAATTAAGGGAGAAGTTGATTCACTTTATTAATTCCAACTAATGTTGATTTATATTTTAGTTGGACAATGTGATATTATTTGTTTGTTTGATATCTATTTGCATGAGCATATATCTTTTTGCCCATCTTTTTTTGATAATGTCAAAAGGGGGAAGATGGTGTAAATATGCATATATTCAGGGGGGAATTGTATTTGTGCATATCTAAATGGGGAAGATAGTATAGATTTGTATGTCTTTGTTTGATTTATGATGCTATACTTGATGGGGAACTAGCCTTGTATGATGCATATCTCCTAATGGGTTTGTCATTATCAAAAAGGGGGAAATTGTTGGACAATGTGCTATCATGAATATGTATTTTTGCAATGTCCTTTGCCCATTGTCTTTTAGGGTTTGATAATGACAAAAGGGTGACAAAACATCATCATCATTTTGTGCATCAAGGCTAAGAATCAAAGCTACAACAAGTTCATATCCGTTCGTGAAGAAGGGACTTGAGCATCGGTGGAAGGAACGGGACTGAAGAGGTTGTTTCCTTAGTTGGGTAGTGTTTTAGGTCTTAGATTTTGTGTTAAAGAGTATGACATCTCTAAGGTTCATTCCCTTATCATCCTACTTTTAAAACAAATTTTTTTCCAGCAAACTATTCGAATAAATTGGAAACTAGTTGAATAAATCCAGAACTAGTTGAATAAGTCAGATTGCAGTTTCACCAAAACTAGTCGACTAAATCTTGACTTAGTCGAATAGTTCGACAGTTTCAACTACCAAACGGCTAGTTTTTTGAATGATTTTCATCCCTATCCACTCCCTAACTTCTATAAAGCTCCTACTTTCGTGATTATCTTCATAGGAGCACTTATAACACTTTGAAAAACATATCCTTTGAATATCCAAAGAGATTCTACTTAATCCCCTCCTTATACCCAAGCAAGGCAATTGTTTTGATTGCTAAATCATTTCTTGCTTGACTTTTTTCTCATTGCTTGAGTCTTTGAGAGATATTGCCATATTCTAAAGGACTTCATTGTATTTGCAACAATCTACTCCGTGTTGGGAGAATTACTCGGTTGCGGTTTGTTTTCTTACTTTATTGTAAGGGATTTGTATTCTTGGTGTTGGGATTACACCAAGTGGTAGAAATCCTAACGGTTTGTGAAATCAAACGTTAGGTGGAAGAAATCCTGAGTTTGTGAAATCAAAACTTCAGGGGTAAGATAAGAGGCTTGTGAAATCAAGTTCTCAAGTTGTATTCGGATTGTCAAACTCTGTTAAGTTTGACGGGTTAGTGAAGGCCTGGGCACGATTGCTTCGGGGACTGGATGTAGGCATTTAGGCCGAACCAGTATATATCGTGTGTGCATTGCTCTTATCCTTCACTTTATTTTGTTTGTGGTGCATTGTTTTTATTGAATATTCGTGAAGAACGTTTCCGCACAAAAAACTGGTCTTTTGGGCAACACCTCTATTCACCCCCCCTCTAGAGGTGTGCGAGGCATCTAACAAGTGGAGCGCAGGAACTCTTCCTTTCAATTCTTTCCCCGACAAGAAGAAGAAATTGAAACCCAGGTTTGCTAGATTATTATCTCTTAGCATCTATTTTTTCCGTCTGTTTTTCCAGCTCCAATCCTTGAGTGTATTTAGAATTTTATAGCGAACCTTGTTGATGTTAATGAAACCATTGTCGTGGATTATTCTATTATATTCCTTCCAAATGTGCCATACAATGATCCCTAGGAGGATAATGCGCATTTGACCTTTGAGTGTCCTTCTGTGGGATAAGTTCCATTCCATGACGTGTTGGTTTCACTACGCCAAAAACAGTATCAGACGACTGTTGATTAACTACTGTTTATGGAAACACAGTAGTTAAAAAAAGAGACTACTGTAAGTTTTTCTTAGATACAAAACAGTAGTCTAGCTATTATACTTTAAAACTATTTTTAAAGTTTGAGAAACGGTAATCTATCATAAGTTGTCTGTGTCAGTTCAAAATACAGTTTTTGTTACAACAGTTGTCAATGACAACTTAAGAATACTCTATTTAAATAGTAGTCTGGTTTTTTAGTCTAAAACTGTTTTTAAACATATTAGAAACAGTTATCTATTGTTAGTTGTCTGTTTCATATGGTTTTTTTTTACCATGGTTGTTTATAATAGGAATAGAAGTCTCTGTTGTAACAGTAGTCTATGAATTAAGGATAGAACTGTTTTTAAAGTTGTGAGAAACGGTAATCTATTATTAATAGTCTCTTTCATCTAAAAATACAGTTTTTGTTGCCACAGTTGTCAATAATTAGTTAAGACTACTATTTTTTAACAATAGTCTGATTTTTTAGTTTATAACTATTTTTTAGCTTATAAGAAGTAGTAATATATTGTTAGTTGTATGTTTCATATGTTTTTTTTTGCATAGTTGTTTATTATAAGAATAGAAGACTCCCTTATAACAGTGGTATATTTATATAGTGTAGAATTGTTTTTAAATTTATAGAAACCATAATCTATTACAAGTTATCTATAATTAATTAAAAATACCCTTTTTAATTAGTATCATTAAAAAACTACTTTATAACGAACAATACCACCATAAATATCATTACTATTATTTTAAAAAATTACAATTGAACTTTATTATGATTCAATATATCATCATCAAAATGCTCTTTTTATGACAAAAAAAACTCATCATCAATACATTCTATACTACAAAATTGTACATCTTTATAATATTTTATGATCGTATAAAACATAAAAATATAAGAAAAAAACATATACTCAAGGAAAAAGCCAATTTATTGAACAAAAAACAAAGTACAAGAGGGGAGGACCAAACCAAAGCCCCTCACAATAAGCTAAAGCCAACATCAAATGAAACATATCAAAATTGTAAACCGAAAGGTTGAGCTGAAAATCAGTTCTCTTATTCCATATCAGAGCCAAAAAATCATGGTACGTATGTAGTCACATACTTCATATCTATAAGAACTGCTATATTAGAAAAGCTAAGCAAAACATCAATCGTCACATATATAAAAATACAAGCACTTTTTAGTATTTTAAATTCATAAAGTGCCTATGTGGGACTTGAACCCACATCTCCGTGCACTTTTGCACATGACGCTCTACCATTGAGCTAATAGGCTAAGAAAATAGCTCAAATAGTATATTAATACTACTATGTTAGCATCTCAAGTAAAGTTAAAATGTCTAGGTGATACAAATAATTGACACTTCTGGAGCATCTCAATGTAATAACGTGTCACGTATAGTTTTGCCATCTTCTTGTTCTTCTTGCAATCCTGTCCATTAAATAATTGTCAAAATATAATAGCACTCTCAAATGAAGTATTATATGAAAATGTAAAAGTATCATTTGTGAAGTTCAAAGTACAATAAGAAGTATAATTGGTGCTTACCCTCGCCTGCCGGATGGATACAACAGATGCTTGACCGACCTACCCAAGTTGCTAATTCCATTTCCATCGTTCTCTCGGAATTCATTGGATCCGAAGGAGTTGAACGAAAAACCCTATTCCTCCGCGCTCTCCCAACGCTCCCAGCGCTTACTTGTCCACAAAAACATAATTAGAGAGAAATCATTCTTAGCTTGCTAAGCAATAATAATTCAACAATGAGAAATGAAGTAATGATCTAAACATAGCATGGTACAACACACGTACAAATCAATGTACCCGAAGAACAAGTGCAAAATGATTGAAAGGGCTGCCATCATTTTCCCATTCTCGTGATGTCCGAGAAGATATATTTAGATGTACCTATTTCTGATCGAGTAAGATAATGGCCAAATGACACGGGAAAAAACGAATCTGCATTCTCAGGCCAAAAACAAATCTTTAACAAGCTGGTAATAAGAAACCAAACCTGCAATATAAACCTAAGACCCTTAATTATATGATAAAGAGCTTTCATAAAAACCAAACATGTTCTCTTAAAGTTAAACCAAACTAAATTTTAAGGGTGCACGAAGATAACTACAAAGAGATCATTATAATTATCACTATAATAGATATAAAATTATCTCATTATTAGACCGTTCAACACTGGTAAACTCTTTTCTTTATGTAGCATTTGTAAATTGTTCTAATCTCAAAGCAGTGAAAAACCAACCAAATCCCCTAACAGCATAGTATATAGACCTAGACCAGATAGAAGAGTATATCTAAACAAGAAATAGATACAAAAGCTTACTCTTGATTAGCAAATACCCAAACTTAGAAACCAAAGTAACAATCTGATCATCCTCTTTACTGGACTACACATGAACTGAGTTCTGATATTTTTTTTTATCAATTGACATAATTGTTTTTTTAAAACAATAGACAATCAGCTTTGGAGAAAAAATATAAGAATAAAATAATTTTGCTAAGCCCTACAAATAACATGGGAATAATTTAACAAGAAGAAACCTAATAGATAAGAAGACTAGGGATTACAGAGAAGGAGACGAGGGAGACGAGATGAGTACCGTACCTGATTCAATTGGGATTGAGGGAGTCGGCGACGCGGTGCTGGGCAGTGGGACTGACGGCGAAGGCTCTCGGCGAATTGGCGATGGCTGGGACTGACGGCGAAGGCTCTCGGCGAATCGGCGAATCCTTTGCTCTCGAACAACACAGGCGTTATGAAACTAAATTAGGAAGCGGGAGAATGAAATTGGGAAGATGGAAAATGAATTTGGTGATAATTGGGAAGAGGGAGAATGAAATTGGAAAGAGGGAAAACTTCCCATTTTTTCTATGTCCTTCCAGAATCTTCCAACAACGATTTAATGTAATTTGATGATATCTTATTTGATTTGATATTGTCTGATCTAATATGTTAAGATCTAGTCTGATTTGATTTGATATGAGTAAAATTATATGTAAGGTTGTTGATCATTTGATAAAATAAAATACTCTTGTCACCTCTTATTTTATAGAGTTTTCTGATGCTTTTAAAGATTAGATTAGGCGAATAGGACACAAACTATATAAAAGTTTAGATTTTCTTTGAAGATTTGATCTGATCTTATTGGTTTTGATTTTGATTTGATTTGATCTTTTTTTGTCCGATTTGGTCGAATTAGGTCCGATTTGATGCATTTAAAGATTAGATTAGGTAAATAGGACACAAAGTATACAAGTAAATAGATCTTTTTAAAGGTTTGACCTGATTTTATTGGATTTTAATTTGATTTGATTCGATTAGATCGATTTTGGTATGATTTGATCTAATTAGGTCTGATCTGATGCATTTGAAGATTATATCAGGCAATTAGAACACAACCTATACAAGTAAATAGATCTTCTTTGAAGATTTGATCTGATCTTATTATATTCGAATTTCATTTGATCAGATTAAATCTGTTTTGGTTTAATTCGATCTAATTAGGTCCGATCTGATCCTTTTAAAGATTACATCAAGAAAATATGACACAACCTATATAAAAGTTTAGATTTTCTTAGAAGATTTGATTCGATCTTATTGGTTTTGAATTTGATTTGATCCGATTAGATCTGTTTTTGTCCGATTTGATCTAACTAGGTATAATCCGATGCATTTAGAGATTAGATCAGGGAAATAGGACACAATGTATACAAGTAAATTATCAATGTGAGTAACAAGTACAATTATCAATACTTATAAGATCTTATATGGTCAAAAGTATGAGTATTTCGAAGAATTGGAAATGTGCAATTACCTTGTTCTGTTATCAGTACCAGTAAGATCTTATACGGCCAAAAATATGAGTATTAAAAGAATCTGATCTATACAATTATTTGATGTATTTATAGATTAGATCAGGCAAAAAGGACACGACGTATATAATTAAGTTATTTTTTTTGAAGATTTGATCTGATCTTGATAGATTGTAATTTGATTTGATCTGGTTAGAACTATTTGGTTTGTTTCAATCTAATTAGATCCGATATGATGCATTTAAGGATTAAATCAGGCAAATATGACACGACCTATACAATTAAATTCATTTTTTTAAATATTTGATCTGATCTTACTAAATTCGAATTTGATTTGATTTGATATTTTTGAAGATTTGATCGGATCTTATTGGATTTGACTTTGATTTGCTCCGATTAAATCTGTTTTTCTCCGATTTGATCTAATTAGTCCGATTAGTTATATTTAAAACTCTTTTAATTTGATCTAGTCTAATCTAATATGATTAGATCTGATTTCATTAGATATCATCTAAACAACATATAAACATGACTTGACTGATCTAATTGGAATAGATCTAATCTGCTTGATCTAATTGTAGTTATATTTAAAACTCTTTTAATTTGATTTGATTTAATCTTATTTGATGAGATATGATTTGATTAGATATCATCTAAACAACATATAAACATGTTAAAATGAGATGTAGTTATCTGATTTGGTATAATCTTATCTCTCTGTGTTTTTTTGAAATACAATAAGTCGGGGGCGACTTTTTTGGTCAAACCAGGACACACTTTGAGCTCAAATTAAATTTAATTTTAAATAATTATATGTTGTAAAATTTAATATATCAACACTACAATTCAAAATAAAAACATAAATTTAATAACTTTATATTATATGGAGTAACTAAATATACTTTTTCATAAATTATAGTCAAAGTGTTGCACAATTTGACTAAAAAAGTGAAATTGTGACAATCTTTTTGAGATGGAGAAAATATAAAATTTGGTAAAACTTTTTTTAAGAATATATTTTATAAAATTTTTGTTCTGAACGAAATGAACAAATTTCAAAACAATTGGATTCCCCTCAAAAAATTGAAGTCCCTTCAAAAAAATATTGTCGGGGATGAAATTTTATTTAAGTGGGAAAAAGTGCGCCCAAAAATTTAAAGTAAAAAAATTGGATTCCCACTAAAAATAGTAGACTCCTTGCCGAGAGAACCTGTCCAAATACATTCCTCTATCTCTTTTCTTATCTCTTTGTTTTCTACATTCAATTACACCCTCAAATCCTCGTGTCAATCTCCTCCCTGCTCTCAAGATCCGCCGCCGTGGTGACGATGGAGCTCTTGTCCACTACATCTATGGCCATAGAGAAGAAGTAGTAATGAGCTCTCAATGAAAGAGCTCTCAATGGGGGTTTCTCGTTCGCGACATGAACAGTACCGCGAGGGCTGTTCTTGCCGATTAATCCGTCAATCCGAGCTTGTTGCTCCAGATTTTTGGAACTCTGGTTTCGCCTACAGCAGGGGATTCCGTATAAGAGGTAATTTCGCTGTTTTTGGAGCTTGATTTTAAAGATTCAAAGGTCAACGCAGGGCAGATTTTGTTCATTTCCGAACATCTCTGGTTAATTTGTGTTGGTCCAAGCAATTTTGAAGGCTACATCTCTGAATTTCAGAGTGTTTTGTTCATTTACGAATTCACTGTTCATCTCGGGACATTGAACATTTTTTGTACTTCTTCATGCTTGTTCTTTGATTAATTCTATGGAGTTTCGTTTGTTCTTGCTCTGAACCTTGTGTGCTTCTGGGTGTGTACCACTGGGCATGTATGGGTCTGGTTTTTGTTGAGACATTGGTGTTTACTGCTGCTATACACTTGCTTTGTTCCAATTGCTTGCTACTTGCTTTTATGCAAGTCTGCAGATTGCACTGTGTTGATGTTGATTTTTGAATTTTAAGTGCTGAATTTGAATAATATCTGAACTGAATTATTGTTTTATTTTGAACAATCTGCAGCTTTTTCTTTATTTCTAAGCGGAATCTTGTGTTCTTTTTTAGAGGTAACTAAAGATAGCATTAACCAATAACGGTAGCTTTGTTACTACAACCTATTACTGTACAACCGAGACCTTATATTATTAACTCTGTGAGGTTTGAATTCCTTGATATTATTTGTCTCGTGTTCATGTTCTTTGTTATTGTTTTTGTTCTGTTGAGGACTGTCCTGGGCTTGGCGTGTGCTACCTTCTGCTATGTTTCTCTTCCATTATATTTTGTAATGGTGGCTTGAACCATTATAGCAAGAACTTGGGCAAAGTAATGTTGTTTCGAAAGTGGTTCTACACACACAACTTCCATAAAAAACCTATTCTTATTCCTAATGTCTTGATCAATTATACAAAACTTTGTCGAATACTTCGAGTAAATACGAACTGTACCCTCCATGAAGTAACGGTCATGTGTGTCAACTACCAGAAAATATCCGGCCAGCCTGAAGAATCCACAATTTACAACCATAGCGTCCAGTAGTTTCAACTATTCTTGGTTTTGTTACAAAGGTTTATTGAGAATGAATCGTTCGAGCATGGGTCGAGGCCAGAGGTATATGCCCGTACTAGGAATTCATTGAGTAAACTACTTCATGTCCCTAAAGTTCAAGGTACAATTCTTTTAACAAGATTCACACATTAAATGCCCATTTGGGTTGCATTTCTAGGCTTATCTGGCATATTTTCTTTTTACAAAGTTTGAGAAAATAAACTTGTGTGGTTTTGAATTTTTGATAATTATTTGGATGACGGGCATTTACTAGATGTACTAGATGCACTGCATTTAGTAAATGTATGAACTAAATTACATGCACGGCAAAGTTTGAGCTAAATGTACTAGGTAACATAAACTTGTGTACTAGCTTGAGGATGACATGTATGAGATAATGATTGAATTTGCACGACATTTCATGATGTATACTTGTGGGTTATTAACATCTTTTTCCTTTCTTTTATACTTGTGGGTTATAGAATACGTCTTTCATCCTATGCAAAAAGTAAAACCCCCCACTTTTTTAAATCATTTTATTTCTATACCAAAATAGTTTTTTCCGGGCAATGCTAACTCCACTTCACTATTTTCATTGAACACCTGATCAGATTCTTCAACATTTATATGAGGCATTAATGGAGGTGCAATAGATGCTGAAACTTGCATATAAATTCCTGGATACCAAATTGAAGAGCCTCTTGTTGCTCGAAGAGCAGGTTGTCTTTCATCCTATGCAAAAAGTAAAACCCCCCACTTTTTTAAATCATTTTATTCCTATACCAAAATAGTTTTTTCCAGGCAATGCTAACTCCACTTCACTATTTTCATTGAACACCTGATCAGATTCTTCCACATTTATATGAGGCATCAATGGAGGTGCAATAGATGCTGAAACTTGCATATAAATTCCTGGATACCAAATTGAAGAGCCGCCTCTTGTTGCTCGAAGAGCAGGTTGTCATTTGTTGTGAAAACCAACAATCAAGCTGTCTGTTATAGGGAATTTCACCTCCTGCTCCTTCATTGAACTTGTCCCTTCAATAACAAGTTCAACCAACTCTATTGAATGGCTAGAGATTATACGTTCTATGTGGTTGTCTCCAACAATTGGTTCTTGATTCACAATGATCATTTCAGGAGTTATTGGGTTTTTGCTGGCAGGTGGGAGATTCAAGTTCAATCCACGAAGATTCTCAAGGATTGGGTTCCTCACTTGTTCCTCTGTAGGTGCAACAACCCGTATCATAGGAATAGATGGATTGAAGAGGTAGGCATGTAAAATATGTAAATTGTAAGGAAGATGATGTAAATATTAAATTATTACATATTAATAATATTTTAAATGTATGAATTTATATATTGTTCAATATATTGTATT